TCAGCAGAACATTGCAGTGTTATGATATGATCAGCGTCTTCTTTCACTGTAGCTGTCCATTCTGTGGTTTTAATGTTATGTGGCTAATCAGTGTATACGTGAGCAGCATACAAGTCACTGCACAGTCCCAGATGCACTGTGCAATACAACAGAGAAAAAAGTGATTCTTCTTTGCCCCATAAGGGGTCACTTAGAGACTGTAATAGCAAAGTACGGGAGTCAGCATGAGTCAGTATGACAAGAGAAAAGTACATTAAATTAGCCTGTCATTGGTAGGATATGGAAATATGTGACTTTAAGTAATAGCCTTCTTTTAACAGCTCTGACAAGGCTAAGTAGATAATTTTAAGTTGGTTTTAATTTGAATTCTGTTTAACTAGGTTTTTTGGGGGCGAATACTTACATAAACCAAAAAAGACCACGACACCCTGTAGGACGGATCGGGTTTACAAATATTTAAGCTAAAAGCACAAGGGTGTGAAGAATTTTGGACCAATATCATTATTTACATTAATGATTTGAAAATTAATTAATTTTGTTTGTGTCGTTATACAAGCCCTCTTTTGTACAAGGAAAAGGAACTTCATTAATACCATAGCACCTTTATTTATAATGTCAGTGCGCCCCAGGGTGGCTGTGGCTATAATGTAGCTGCCATCACCAGTGTGTGAATGTGTGTGTGAATGACTGGATGACTGGTTGTGTAAAGCGCTTTGGGGTCCTTAGTGGCTAGTAAAAGCGCTATACAAATACAGGCCATTTACCATAATGCACTTCAACATAAAACCTGGGTTCACAATATGCTGTGCATATACAAATAGCATAAACCATAATACTACTACTACTACTAATAATAATAATTATATAACAAAACAAAAAAATACTTATCAGTTTTAAAGTCTCTCAGCTCACCATTTTTAAATTCGTACATCCCGGGTATCTATAATATAAGTTCAGAGCATTCATCACTCATCCGTATGCCTATATGAGGCCACCGGGTGGCTTGTGAAGACGTAAAACAACTCCTTTGGGGAGGGGGGTTAAAGAGGAAGATACTCATGTTATATTGGGTATAATATACCTAGCTCTGTCAGTAATGTGTAAAACACTGTGTGCCAAATAAGTGGCTGAAGGGCGTCAGTTTCACATTCCTTCTTTGCAGGAGGCAAGGGAAGATTCATATGACATTTAAACGAAAGCATATTTTCAATAAAACACCCAAGTGGAAATAATATAAAGGAATTGGAGTATCTTGAAAGCATGACAGGACTTCAATAATGTTTAAATAATTTAGTGACTGAGTCACTCCTGTCTGTGTGTGAAGTTGTACTTTTATGATCCACAGATCAGATGGGCCACAATACTTTCAGATATACAAACCTGTAAGTGCATAGCAACCAAGACACGTTCGGTGTAGTTTTCAATATTTTGACCGCAAATTCAAAGTGACTTGAGGTTGTGACAACAGTGACTGCTGTTGTGATTTGGCACTATATAAATAAAACTGAACTGAATTGATTTTCTGTTATCAGGGATTCCAGTTTACGTTTAATGGACTGGCACAGACACAGAGCGTTAGTGATGAACAGGAATGCCAGAGAAGAAATGAGAACTGAGAAATTGGAACATTTTTATGTCCATTTTTTGCAGATTGATCATCAGGAGTGCTGAATGCTAATAACCCCTGTTGTTACTGCACTTGTTATTGTTTGACACCAGAAGTTTCATTTCCCTCTTTTTGGGTCAAATGTTAACTATATAAGTTGCTGAACATGCACTTAGAGAATTAAGATTATTTCAACATCTGTCAGAACCACTGCATAAAAAAGAAAGGAGTACATTTTGTACATGCACAGTATTAAGCTTTTTCACAGCTAGTAATAAAAAAATCTTTTCACTTGTGTAACATAAAAAAACATCCATATTGAAATTAGTCTTAATAAATTATGTAAGAGCACAGTATAATTTGCAATATTTGTTTGGTTATTCAATGGCTCAAAAATGTCTTTCCAAGTTTGTCCTGAACATATTCTAATATTTACGATGACTGCACAAATTGGCAGTAGGCATCCACATTCACTGGTTACTTTCTATCACTGGTCACTGGTACACCTGTTCAACTGCTTGTTAAAGAAAATACCTAATTAGCCAATCATACGGCCGCAGCTCAAGAGATTTAGCCAAGCAGACATGCTCAATATGACCTGCTGAAGCATCAAATGATGAAATAGGAAAAAAGAGAAGATTTCAGTGACTTTGGATGTGTTATGGTTGCTGGTGCATGACAGGCTGGTCTGAGTATCTTAGAAACTGCTGATTTACTGTGATTTTTCCACGCAACCATCTCTTGTATTTACAGAGAGTGGTGTAAAATGAGAAAATATCCAGTGAGTGGGGGTCCAGGCACACCCAATAAAGCCACTCTGAATTTTACACATGCGCTTGACATATAAGTTACACTGATTTGTGTATTTTGGTAATGAAAAAGTTCAAAACCACATCACTAATAAGTTATTGCAGTACAAGCTCAAATTAATTATGCAGTTCACAGTAGTTTAGTGGTTTTGCAGCAATTATGGTAACCAGTGGGACTGAGGGGGATGCTGAGAAGACAGGCCCAGGCACGTCAGGCTTCGGGACCAAAAAAGAGCTCATTCCTCAGCTTCTGAAGCTAGCTTGAAAGCATCAGCCTACATGAAAATTGCAACAGAAATGGAAATGTGTTATGGATGTTGTGCAATCAGACTCAGCTGTCGTAGTGTGTGGGGAGTTCACTGGTCAACTTACAAGCCTCCTATTTGTCGCCTGGTGCAGAAGGTTTTGCACTTTTATAGCTGTGGATGCTTTTTTCTATTAGTGGACTATACATAGAGTATATAGTTGTAAACATACATATTGACTTGAACAACCACGAACAACTGATATGAACCAGTTCTGACTCTAGAAATGCCTTGTTCATATCAGAAGTCAGACATGAACGAGGCAGGATAACGCGCCATGTCCCAAAGCTCAAATCATCTCAAACTGGTTTTCTTGAACATAATGAGTTCATTGTACTCAAATGGCCTCCACAGTAACCAGTAGAGCACCCGTGGGATGTGGTGAAATGACAGATTTGCATCACTGATGTGTAGCCAACATATTTGTAGTAGCTGCTATCATGTCAGCACAGGCCAAAATCTCTGAGAAATGTTTCCAGCACCTTGTTCAATCTCTGTCGTGAAGACTTCAATCAGTTTTGAAGGCAAAAGTCCAGCAAGGTGTACCTAATAAAGTGTCCAGTAAGTGTAATTGTTTGATTTTTTGTTCTTATGCACACCATCTTTTAAAAACAGGTTATCATTCTTGATTGAAGTTGTTAGTTGGAGACAATTTGGAAATTATGTTCTTAACAGGTAATTTAAGTTCTTTATGGAAACAGTCATACACTGTGTGCACAATTATTAGGCAAGTGGGTATTTTGGCCATATCATATTTTTTACGCATATTTTCCAACTTCAAGATGAATAAACTTGAGTGCTTATTGGATTTAAGTGTATCAGGTGATCTGTATTTGCATAATGAGTGAGGGTGTGGCCTAAGTAGATCAACACTCTATATAAAGGTGTGCATAATTATTAGGCAGCTTCTCTCCCTCAGGCAAAATGGGCAAAAAAAGTGATTTAAATGGACTCTGAAAAGTCAAAAATTGTAAAAAGTCTTTCAGAAGGATGCTGCACTCTTGAAATTGCAAAGATATTGGGGCGTGACCACAGAACCATCAAACGTTTTCTTGCAAATAGCCAACAGGGTTGCAAGAAACGCATTGAGCATAAAAGATGCAAGTTAACTGCCAAAGATTTGAGAACAATCAAACGTGAAGCTACCAGGAACCCATTATCCTCCAGTGCTGCCATGCTCCTGAACTGCAACCTACCCAGAGTGTCCAGAAGGTGTTCAGTTCTTAGAGACATGGCCAAGGTAAGGAAGGCTGAAACCCGACCACCACTGAGCAAAACACACAAGTTGAAACGTCAAGACTGGGCCAAGAAATATCTGAACAGACATTTTTCAAAGGTTTTATGGACTCATGAGATGAGAGTGACTCTTGATGGACCAGATGGATGGGCCAGTGGCTGGATCAGTAACAGACACAGAGCTCCACTTCGACTTAAACGCCGGCAAGGTGGAGGTGGGGCAATGGTATGGGCTGGTATTATTAAAGATGAGCTGGTTGGACCTCTTCAGGTTGAAGATGGCCTGAAAATCAACTCCAAAACCTACTGTTAGTTTTTAGAAGCAGTCTCACAGGAAAAAGTCTGCATCTTTTAAGAAGACCATGATTTTTATGCAGGACAATGCTCCATCACATGCATCAAAGTACTCCACTGCCTGGCTAGCCAGTAAAGGCCTTAAGGATGAAAAGAAACAGTACACCTCTTTGAAAAGTGTCTGGGAGGCTGTGGTTGCTGCTGCACAAAAAGTTAACTGACAGACTCCATGAATAGAAGGCTTGTGACAGTGATTGAAAAGAAGGATGGCGATATTAGTCACAGATTTTTTATTTTTTATTTTTTATTTTGACACATTTTACATTTTCAAAATTACACAGTGTACATTTTGAGTTGTTTTATTATTCTCACTGTAACATTTGCAAATAAACTAGTGAGATGGGAGAATGTTCATTTTTTTCATTTAGTTGCCTAATAATTCTGCACATATATATAAATATTCTCTTAAAGACAAAACCTCACTTTTACATTCGTAAACATTTGGGTTTAGATTAATTAACATTTTGGATTGACCAAGAGCACTGTCCTTGATCCATAATGAAAATTAATCCTCAAAAATACAACTTGGTTAATAATTGTGCACACAGTGTATTTGATGGGGACTTTATATATTTATTTTTTATCTATTAATCCAAAATATTTAGGGAGAGTTTTTATATTAATTAGTCTATGACAAAATGATAAAGGCTTCATGAGGCATGTGAGTCCATGAGACATGCCTTGTGTCTGTATATAAGGAGGGGAAAGCAGCTCAGTGGGCAGAACCTGCAGCATTGCAATGGAGACTTCACAGAGGACAAGATCAGTTAGGCCAACGTTTCCTCCAGTTTTCTTCAAAAGCTACAACATATCCGGACAAGGTATGGCACTGAATTCCTATTTGATTTTTATTTTGTGCATTTCTACAGTTTTCCCACTCTTTTCCTTCATAAATGCAGATCAGCCTGTGATTTTATGTATTCACATTTTTTTGGTAGTTGTATAATTTTTAACAAATGAAGAATTTGTGGTATTATGCCCAAATAACTAGTTTTAAAGTGATATTTATTATAATTATTATTCATTATGCTACCTACACATTAGTAAAGCCGTAGGGAGAATAATAGATGGCCCAAAGGATGGGAATAAAACGTCTAATAGTTTAAATTTGATAGTTTTATACTATATTTTTCCGAGTTACTTCAGTCTAATTTCTAGCTTTTTACTTATTTGCTGCATTTCTGAATCATCTTCAAGTGTCAACAAGTGGATTTAAATGAAAAGTGTTTATCTGAAAATCGTTTTTTTGTTTTCAAAATTTGTATGTTTGACCCTGCAGGTGGAGATGGATTTAATCGATGGGTTTTACTGTGCTTGGGACTCTTGAATGCTGTGCTGCTGATAGTCGCTGTTGTTTTTGCGATTAAGTGTGAGTGTAACAGCTCATGTGATGATACAGTTTACTCGTGCTTGGTTGTGTAACAATATTGGTTAGCCAATACAATAATTGTTGAACTCTCAGCAACCACACAAGGGGAAATGCACATTTTCCATATTTCAAAACACTAATCATTTCATAATGATGAACTAATTATATTAATATCACACTTGCTGTCTCTCTTACCTGTGTAGGTGCCAAAGTCAAAGAGGACTCCTTGCACATTTCCAACCCAGCTGTAACACAGCTCTTCAATGAGCTTGACTATCTCCGAGGCAACCACAGCGATGTGATCGAAGCTGAAGAGGAGGCCAAGAAGGCGTTAGAGAGCGCGATCAACAACCACAAAGAAGTAAAGGTGAAAATTGAGCAGCTGAAGACCGTCAATGATGGTTATGAGAAACAGATGCAAGCACTGCAAGTGGAGAAGACAAACCTAAAGTCCAACATATCAGTTTTAGGTGAGAAGTTTTGTTTTAATCTGTGAACTCTGAATACATTAAAGTACCTGAAATGACAAGAAATCCTTTGTTTCTCTCAGAGAACTCTTGTGATAAATGCGCTCCTGGATGGGCTCTTTTCAACTCGTCCTGCTATTTCTTCTCTTCCACCGAGTCCTCTGCTGTCAAAAGGAACTGGCATGAGAGCAGAGTGGACTGTGTTAGTCGTGGCTCTGACCTTGTTGTGATTGATAACCAACAGGAGCAGGTGGGTTGAAAATAAGAGAGAAGAAGCTTGAAAACAGATAAGTCATCTACATACATCGTCCACAGACATACAATAGTCACTGAAAGTGATTAGCAAAGATTTTTAAATGTAGCCTTAAGGCTCTTTAGGAGTTTCTGTGTTGGCATAATTTGTATCCCACAGGCAATCGTGGCCAGTTTTGTAAGTAGGCAATTTACAATTTTTATTGACTAAATTTTAAATGTATTTTTCTCTTTCTTTTGCTCACATAGGCATTCGTGAGTAACACCATCAAACTTCTAAAAAACAATCCTCATCAGTGGGTGAATGGATTCTGGGTTGGTCTTACTGACATAGCGACAGTGGGGACATGGGTGTGGCTTAATAATGTCACAGAGGTGGAACAAAGGTAAGAAAAGACAGATTATTAATTATAGATTTTTATAGATCATTTCCACTTAATTATCTGTCTCGCCTTTTCTCAGGTACTGGATGGATGGAGAACCAAATGTTGAGGAGGAAAATTGTGTGATTATCATTTACTCCTCCTCTAATCCCTGGAAGACCCGCTATGATGGAAACTGCAATGGGCATAACTTAGACTGGATATGTGAAGTACCATCAAGATAGTCACTCCAGAAACCTGGAATGATTCATATGTTTTATGTTTGGGGCATTTTTAAACTTGTATCATTCAAACTGTATTAAAGTCAATGAAAAGTGTATTACAGTGCAGTAAACAATATTAAAATGTTTTGGAAATTTCTATATCTTACATGGACACATGAGTTTTATAATCTGCTTACATCCAATAGAAAGATTTGCTGTGCTGGAGTTCGTACATCTACCAAGTTAAATCATTATGATCATTAGTACCACATTAGCATCAGTGTACTGGAGTCACAGGAGTCACAGGAGCCCCAGTTTCATTGTGTTTGGCAGTGTAGAGAGATCAAAATATTGTGTGGAGAGATCAGAGTGATGTCAGAACAAAGTTAACTAGGTTTACACACAAAGAAACCCATATGGAAAAGAAAAAACGTATAAAAGACTTGCATAAGATGTGGCCTACTTCATATAGTGAATCATATAAGGCTTATATGATTTATTCATGAAAGCGGCCACTTTCTCATTACTTTCATATATTGTTTTAGGAAGTATCCAAAACACAAGTTTCATTTATATAATTCTTCAAGGGATTTTATATCTGTTTTCACTCTTGTATGCTTTTCATACAAGTTTCACACAAGACGGATACAAACTTTGTAAGATTTATATATATCTTTTCCATATGGGAAGCACTCATAGAAAACTCAAGAAACATTAATGAATCTCCATCTTTAAGTTCCAAAATCCTACAAACATTGATTGCATTGAGGGGGGGAAAAATTCATTTCTTAGATCACATGCTAGAAGTGACAAAGTCTCCAACATTCAGTGAAAAACAAAACAAAACAAAAAACAGAAAAAAGACTACACATCAAAAGTGACAGTGCAATTGTAAAAAAGGCAGCACAGCATAGGTTTTACATATCTATCTAAAGGATAATGTAGATGTTTGTCCAAAATGTACTCGCCACGTTTAGTAACAACCAAATACAGCAAACCAACCCAACACAAACACCTCATACCACCTGTAAAGCACAGTGGTGGAGAGGTGATGATTTGGGCTTCTTTTACAGTGACAGATCCTGGACACCTTGCAATCACTGTCGAGTTGACTGTAAACTCCTCTGTGTACCAAATCGTTCTGGGGTCAAAAGAGAGGTCTGACAGCTAAAGCTTGTGCCAGACTGAGTCGTGATAGAACAGGAGATCCAGGCCTCAAGAGCCGGTGTCCTGCAGGTTTTAGATGTGTGCTTGATCCAACACAGCTGATTTAAATGGCTAAATTACCTCCTCAACATTTCAAGTTCTCCAGAGGCCTGGAACTAATCATTTGATTCAGGTGTGTTGACTCAGGATGTTATCTAAAACCTGCATGAGACCGGCTCTCGAGGCCTGGAGTTGGCCACCCCTGTGATATAACAATGATCTCAAACACAGGAGCAGATCTACAACATAATGACTAAATAAAGAAAATAATCAAGGTGTTACTTGAAATGCTGTTGACCTTGACAGAGCTGTGCACCAACCTCAATGAACCAAAGCAATGCTATAAAGCAGCGGTCCCCAATTCCTGGGTCATGGACAGAGTCATTTGGTACCAGGCCATGAGAGCTGAGGCTCGGGTGTGAAATTTATGGTAAATGGCCTGTATTTATATAGCGCTTTACTAGTCCCTAAGGACCCCAAAGCGCTTTACATATCCAGTCATCCACCCATTCACACACACATTCACACACTGAAATTTATGGTTTTTGGATGTTTTTATCTGTTTTTATCATTATCATTTCATCGTTATTAAAAATAAATAACTAAATTTTTATTGTTAACTTGGTTTCCCTAACTGTGTTATGATTAAATCTTCTTTTTTTGGGGGGGGGTAGCGGTACCGGTTTTATTTTGTTGTATAAATCTGCGACACCTTAAAGGCCGGTCTGTGAAAATACTGTCGGACATAAACTGGTCTGTGGCGCAAAAAGGATTTGGGACCGCTGCTATAAAGAAGAGTGGGCAAAAATTCCTTCACACAATAATGTGAGAGACTGATGAAGTTGTTGCTGCTAAAGGTGGTTCAACGAGCTACTGAATCATGGGGCACTTAGTTTTCCACACACGCCACTTTTGCATAGTGTTTTATAATTAAATAAATAGTAATATGGAATAGCAGTGGTTCCCAAACTGTTTTTGTTAGGCCCCCCTTTGTTTTACAAGAAAAACGTTCGCGCCCCCTCCTGGAGGCCCTCACCACGTGCTGTTCTCGACGTCAGCGGCAGTTTTTGCCAAGATTTATCGCCAAATCGTTTGATCCATCCTTAAAGCAGAAATGCAACCCTCGCCATCACCACCCAACCGCACTTCCCTTTTCTCCTGTAGTACGGACTGGTGCAGTTTTCATTTCCACTCCGCAGCAGCGTTTCTCCATGTCACATTTTGCCAGCCCTGATCCCATTTCAACTGGCAAGTGGCGGATGCGCCGCCAGCATTCACAGTCCCAGCAGGAGTCTGGGATTTTGTCTGAACAGCCGGCTAGGAATGTTCTGGATGATTGTCATGCTTCAAAACCTGTCAAGCATGTAGAGACTGCTGTTCGTCCTCAACTCAACACATCTGTGAGCGCAAACAACATGTGTGTTATCCCAGATATTCATAAGCCCCAGCCAGGTAACTCAGGAGTAGTTAATTCAGAAGTTGTTGTGCCTACTCCTGTGCCCATGTTTAAAAATGAACAGTGTGTTTCCCGGCCTTCAGTTCAGTTAGCTGCCCAGCAACCACCTTCAGCTCAGTCAGCTGATCAGCAGCCACCTTCAGCTCGGTCAGCTGATCGAGTCGCCCGCCCAGCCTCATGCCTCGTCAGCTGGAGGGTCCGAGGGGCCCGTCCAGCATCACTCCTCGTTAACTGAGGGTCCTGGAGGACCCAGCCAGCACATCCTCACATCTGCTGATGGTCCGGGGAAATCTGTTCAGCCGTCACCTGCTGAATCATCCCCCGCGACTTT